TCCGCGAGAAAGTACAGCCTCCTTGCTATCTTTCGCGAGATGTGAGGAGATTGTGCTCCCTGTCTACATAGAACGCCTTGGTCTGTCTAGATCACATAGGGCCTAGAGCCCAGACTGTGGACCGCGAAACTTAAGAAGGGGTATATTTCATTGCCAGGGAGCTCCTTGTCGTGGACAGAGTAGTTCCGCTCAGCGCTTTGAGCTGCCTGGGCTGGAACGAGATGACTCGTTCGTGTCCAGCCGTGTCGGCCTGCAGCAATGCACATCCGATGGCGTAATCGGAGGCATCGCAGACGACGCTAAACGGCTTCGTCTCGTCCGGCAGGGCCAGGACAGGGGCCTCTTGGAGACCGGCCTTGATGCTGTCGAAAGCATCCTGGTGCTCTTGCTTCCAGCGCCAGTCGACGTCCTTCTAAAGGAGACTCGACAAGGGCTTAGCGAAGCCCGCGTACCCTGCGCTGTACTTGTGAAGGTAGTTGGCCAAGCCCAACCACTTTCGAAGATCCTTCTGGGATCGGGGCGTCAACCATGCTGCTATGGCCTTGACCTTGTCTGGGTCAGCCCGAACGCCCACATTGCTTACGAAGCAGCCGAGAACTTTAATCTCTGGTGACGCGAAAACGCACTTGTCGATGTTGGCGTAGAGCTTGTTCGCTCGCATTACGTCCAACACTCGACGGAGGTGTCCTAGATGCACCTCCATGGCCGTCTTGCCTCCCTCGGCACGGCTATGGACGAATATGTCGCCGAAGTACGTCTGTACGAAGGTACGCAAAGGGCGGAACAATTGCGGCACCAGGCGATTGAACGTCGGCGTTAGACAAGCCCTGCGGCATGACAAGCCACTCCCAAAGCATGCCGCTTGGAGTGCTTACCGCGGTGAGCGGGATGTCGCTCTCTCGCATCAGGATTTGGTAGTATCCGTCTACCAAATCCAGCGCACTGTACAGTACGCTCTCGTCCATGTTGTTCAACAACACATCCTTCCGTGGGATCGGTGTTTGGGCCGGTACCGTTGCGTTGTTCAGCTTGTTATAAGCGTGAACCAGACGCCACTTTCCGTTCGGCTTCCGAACGCAGAAAGTCGGCGTCGAGTGCGGGGATTTCGACTCCCGCACCATGCCTGCCTTCGCTTTCGCGGCGAAGAAGGCGTCAATGACCTCGCACTGTTCGCGCGGGAGAGGCCATTGCCTCGTGACACAATACTTTATGCCGGGCACGAGATCAATCTCGTGCCGTACGCCTCGATCCGGTGGGAGTTGGGTCGGTGGGTGTTTGTTCACCACGTCCGCGTACTCCTTCACCAAAGGATACACCGGATCCTTGGGGTTTTTAAGAATCTCAGAACCCAAGCGCGTCTGACGCTGCTTGTTCATGTCTTCCAGGACGCTCTCGTCCAGGACAGAGGAAGAGTTCGGCTCCTCCCGAGTGGTCTCAGGTCTCATGAGTACCATCTCAGCAACCTCTTCAGCCTTGAGGTTGGTCAGGAAAGACTCAGCCGTCATTTCCTCGAGGTTCAGTATCTCTGCAACCTCTGGCAGCGGTTCCAAGAGACCACTCGATGCCTTGACGGGTAAACCGGTCTCGCCATCGAAGATGTGATAACACTCTTCCACCGGCCTTGTCGGAGGAGCCCGGGCCCTGGACCCCGAGTCGCTTGAAGCGACGTCGATCGGAACGAAGTTCGGATCCGACTTGAGGCGGCGGCGGCTTTGTTGACGACGGCGACCGTGACGTCGAGCTTTGCTGCCCACGTCTAGGGATGTCGGCGCTACGACATCCGAGGCACTCGTGACCTCGTGTGGTACCGTGGTACCCACACAGGAAGCGTATCCGACGTCTTCCTCTTCAGTTAAGGTCTGGGCGACCGTGAGTGGAACTCTGTTACCCACTCTGAACGCGCTGTTCTCAGTGTTCGTGACAGCTGCAGGTGTCTGCGAAACTAAGTTACCCGCCTGTGGACCTAAGTAACCCACTTCGCCAGCACCTCTTCTGGGCGCTGCCACCATCAAAGCATCCTCGGAGTCGTCATATACGTCGACGACTCCCAAGCATCTGCCAAATGCTTTGGTACCCTGGCAGCCCTTGCGGGCGCCCCGGGCCCTGACAGAGGTGGGAGCATGACTCACCAATGCTCTGTCGGACTGCGCAGGGCGGCTGGCACCGATTGCCTTGCCTCGCCAGTCGATCCAGGGCTCGTGCTTCTCAAGCCAGGGCATGCCCAGGATCATATCATATGGATCCATATCGAGAACAGTGAGATGTTCGAGGCTGTCAAAGTCTTCAAACTTGACGGCCAGATCCACTTGGACGTTGAGGACAGTAACGACCTTCCCGTCGGCCAGTCGCACTGACACCGTCCCGTTGCCCTTGCTTTCTCTCAAAGCATCGGACAACTTGTTGCTGCTATGAGCAACCGTCTGGCGGCGTGCGAAATTCTTCGACGCCCCAGAGTCGATCAAGATTCTAAAGGGATGATCGTATCCCCGTACACATCCGTGTACTACGAGCAACCCGCCGCTGCTCCTCGCCGACTCGAGAGTGCGAAGACTCTCAGGGGCTAAGTCCCCGTGGTACGCGCCACCCGCGCACCCATCACGAAGACTTAGTTCTTCCCCAGTAGGGCGCCCCGCCCCTACTGGTTGCCGGCGTTCCCCTGTCCTCGGGATCCTGGCTTCTGCCAGCGACCCTTATGGACGGGCTTGGGGAAGGACCGTCTGCGGAGTCTTTCCGCGGGACAATCGCGCTTGAAGTGGCCCATCTTCCCGCAGCCGAAGCAGCGGATGTCACGCTGTTCGGCGGACCCGAGTTCCATGGGAACTGGTCCGTTGGGGCTTGTTCGACCGGGAGCCGACAAGGAACTCCCAGGCCACGCTGAGGCCGGCGTACGCGCCTGGCGATGGCTGTACTCTTCTTGAAGAGCCACTTGAATCGCCTCTTCAAGGGTGCTTGACTGCACCCGGAACAGCTGAGTGCGTGCGGGGCCCACTCGAAGGCCGTCCATGAACACAGTCATCTTGATGTGTTCGTTGAGTAGGTTTCCCACTAGGGACGCCGTGAGCTCCCGTATCTCTTGCACATATTCGTGCAGTTCACGCCTCTCTTATTTACACGAGAGGAAACGCGAACGCTGGTGGTACTCGTAGTTCGCCGGGAGGAACGCGGCTCGGAGCTGTTCGCACAGCTGAGCCCAGGATGTGAAACATTCAGGGGATGTTGCTTCCCGTGTGTACACCCAACTCTTAGCACGGCCGCTAAAGTTGGAGAGTGCAAAAGCAACACGCAGTTGCTCGGTCGAGATCAGAGCCGCGTCCATCGCGAGCTCTACTTCTCGGACCCAGAAGTGAAGGTTCTCGCCTTCCTTCCCTTCATACGGCTTAACCTTCAGCCGTATTGGCTTCGGGTGAGGCGGATTTGCTTCCGCCGCCGGAGCCTGCAGGTTCTTCCGCACATGCGCGATGAGGCCCTGCTCGTACGCGTCAAATGCATTGACGCGCCCGAGCTGCTCAGCCGGTGTTGACACCACCAGGCTCTGCAGGGCCTCCATCCCGAAGATGCCTGCCATCTTCCGAACCGACTCGAACTGAGAGTCGTTCGTATGGGAGAAGTCGTTCCTATCCATGGCAACGAACTTCGGAGAGGTTCAGGTAGTCTACCCGCGGTGGCGTGGATTGACTACGAGTGCTACCAAGTGTGACGGGGTCACACAGCACCTTGCGCTAAAGGAAGTTATCTTCCGAAAGTATACAAACTCTCAGTGAACGGCAGTTCACAGGTCCCCTCTTTATTTAAAGAGAGCGAAGTGACCTAAATAAGTAGATTGTAAACTGAGTATATTTATAGGTAGGCTAAGTTTGGGTTTAATACAAACTATAAGTTACCTATAGAAATGCAATGTCATTTAGCCAATGGTTGGCTTTGAGCGACCTTGGTACCTTGTACCAAATATGCTGGGAATATGACGTGTCATACTCCTGAAGTGTGAAGTATCACACTTTATGTAACCAGGGTACACTTAGGGCTACGTAC